AATAATTGATAATGGATAAGTTCAAACGTCAAGTATAAGATTATACTTGAACGTTGACTTACAAATAATCGTAAAAGCAGCTTTTTAAAAGAGAAAACATCCCTTTGTATACAATAATAACTCACCTTTGCATTTTGAAAATAATAGAAAAGAAAAAAAATTAAATATTTGACGCATTTGAACAGTAAAGTTCGTATCAGGTATATTAATTGCCGTTGTCCGAAACCATCATAACCGTTTCCCCTTAAGCCGACACGAAAAGGTGGGTATAAAAAAAAAACAGTGTTAAATATCACTAATTAAGACCACTAAACTTGAACGAACCACCCAAATACAGCGTGATAAGAGGGATATATAAAAATTGCTATTAATCAGTATATCGTTATTTAATATAATAGATCCAAAGTTTACCCCTGTTACTTATGATAAGGCCGCAAATTGGTTATCAATAAAATGAGATATTGTTTAAGCATTATCTGTTATAGGGTGAAATTTCGTGAAAAACGCTTAATCGAGTTAAAACGTCGTCAAAATGTTCGACACTAATTAGGACTAACTAGATTAGGTAAATACACTTTAAACAATATATAAAAATAAAAAAACCCAACGTGGATTGAAACGAGATCGTTATCCAAGGCCCTACACAATTTAATAGTCTGCATATTATCGAAAAAAAAAAATAATAATTGAAAGAGCACTAATAATATAATATTTAGTACTTAATGAAAGTCAGCACCAAACAAGTATATTTGTGCCACAAACCTAGAAATGACATCGAAGATTTGAATTCTAATTGACGACCTCAATGTACATTTCATAGAAGAAAATTCGACCAAACCCCAAATATACAAAATGGAAATAAAACTATCCATCAATAAGATACTTGACCATGGCACTGCAAAAGAAATTTTCTATGTAATTTCCATGGTTAGTAAATTATCAAAATGATTCTCTGTTCACATAAAATCAATATACTATATTGAATAACGAAATGTCAAAAGTGACAAAAATACTGCAAAGAAAAAGATAATTATGTAAAACATCGCAAATGTTAAAAATAAATAAAGAAAAAATAAATAAATCTAAAGTTTCGTACCAATGCCAAGAAATCATTTTCCATTTATATATCTAATCTCCAAGGATTTTTGTGGTAACCAAATTTTCAATCACATTAATCCAATCAAGATTTCCTTCTTTCAACATTCGTTTCATCTGTTTCGTCTGTTTTACTTCATCCCAATTGTATTTAAGGAATAACATGACAATCTTTTTCAATTTTTCTTCATTGGTCTTTAAAGAAAATCTTAATATCTGATCCCAATTGTGAATGGTAGCCATTTCACCCATTCGGAGTACAGCCAATTCTTTTAAATCATCTAAATGTCTTGCGTCAGAATCAAAATAAAGATTTTGTAATGTGTCTATTGATATATCGTCTTCTAGTTTATCAGCATAAAGATAGTATAGAATGGCTTTAAAAACTTGGAATTTCATGCCTGTAACATGAATTGGCGCTGTTCCGGGGGCACTCCATTCATCTTTAAACAATGAATCAAAATAATCTGAACGACTTGCAAGAGCAAGTCGATTCGATTTAATTTTAGACCCACAATCAAATTCAAACTCGACATCACAGTATCTTTCATCCATAAAATACTTTTCAAAAGAAGTTAAAAATGGTTTTGGTCTTATTTCGTTCAATTTTCCTCCATCACTTAAAGTATCTTTCGTAAATGGATCTTCATTGATGATATGCACCCGTATAACCAATGTAACATTACTATTACTCTTCCCATCAGCAAAAATTTCGGTAAAAGGTACAAATTTTCTAGTACCTAAAGTATGAATATCATCCCGACTTTCAAAAACGAAATCAGATTTCTTGAAACTTCTTATGGCAAGATGTGTAAGTTTTTTGGATTTAATATCAGGATTATCAACCCGATACAATTCGAACCAAAATCGTTGAACCGTTCTAGATTTAACTTGATTTTTTTTTTCATACTCTGACCGAAAAGCAGTAAGAAATACTGCTAAATAATCGGGTTGATTCGCGTAGCCATGTGGATATAGAACGAGACGCCACCAGTGAATGGGGTCCTTCTCACCAGTTTCTGGATCGATAGTTACTGGTAAAGGAGAAGAAAATCGTTCACTCATCATAAAGGCACCTGTTCCCATACGAGTATATAGGTCTTGAAACTCTTTAACAGACCATGTATAAATTGGCTCGCCAGAAGTTTTATTTGACACTTCTGTTTGTGGACTTGCCATGTTTATTATCAAAGTATTTTTTAGTCCGATGTTAAAAAAAAAAAAAACCCCTATTTAATTAAAAAAGCATATGAGATCAGATGTTTACCTAATTTGATTATGATTATCTGATAAAGCAGGCCAGATTTACTGATTTTTTTGATTCTCTCGCAGGCATAATCTTTAAATATTACTGTTACGCATATAATCTTTTTAACCTTTTATAAAAGATGCTTTAATAACTATTGCATTATTCATTATTTAAATCGTACAATTAGTTTCTTCAATAGAGGTATAACAATAACCACATTAGAGAAGTCATATATATTACGTAATATAATTTTAATAGTAACTCAGAGTTGGCATATTGAGATAAATAGAGAAGTACTTCATTGATATTGCTTCATTGTTCTATTGAGATATTTTAACAACTATCTAATTAAAATTAATTTTTTATTTTATTTTTAATTTTCTTTAAATAAAGATATCTCGACAATTATCAAATCAAAATAAATAATTTTTTTATTTTAATTCTATAAATTTATAGAATTTAAAATAAAAAAATTTTGTTTAAAAGTTCAAAAAACTATAAAAACTAGTTTGTTGAAATATTTTTGTTTAAAATTTAAAAAGTTTATTTAAATTATTATTAGATTAAACAAAATTAATTTTTTAATTTTTATAATCTAGTTAAATTTTATTTTTATTTTTTTTTTCTTTTTAATAATTATATTATTACTTGTATCTATTTCAATCAATATCTTTTTTAGTAATATTTCTTGTCAGATTAGATATTAGCTAGCATAACTGTCAAAAACTATATTACTTTATCAACTTAGAGTTTCTACTATACAGATTTTTTGCTTGTAGATTCTATCAAAATTTATTTATATAACATTATATTATATTTCTAATATTTAGATAATATTAGTATAATATAATTTACAGAGTTACAACTTTAGAAAGATTAGAGTTTATTATAAGTTAAGTACAAAGGTTTGAGTAATTATTCAAATTTATTGACAGTGAAATTTAAACTCTAGATATCTTATATGATAGTCTAGTAATCTAACTACTATACTATAATAAGATTACTAGATCTTATAAGTTAGATTTATTTTTTTATTTTTTTATTTTTAAGGTAGTTTACATTGCTAAGCAATTTTTATTAGTTTGATATATAAAATTACACATGAGCAATCTCTATAGTTTTCAGTTATATAAAGAGTATACAACAAGCTATATGTAGATCTGATGATCTTAATATAGTAGTTAGATTGCTAGACTGCTATATAAGAGATCTAGAGTTCAAATCCTAATGTTAATGAATTTGAATAATTACTCAGACCTTTGTACTCAACTTATAGTAAACCCTGTTCATTTCTAGAGTTGTATCTTGTAAATCATATTGCACTAATATCATTTAGATATTAGAAATATGATGAGGTATTTGAAGAGATGTAATATTATACAAATAAATCTTAATTTTTTTTTTTTTTTTTCTTTTCGGCAAGTCATGCCTTATCATTTATTCAATGTAATTAAAAAACTACAAGGGTTACAATGCCTAACTTAACAACCAAAGA